TGCATTTGGCGGGGGGGGGGGGGGGGGCGTTAACCATTTGACCACCACAGCCTAGTTGCCATAGCAGGGGTAACTGTTACTATCCTGCTGTGGAGGAAAGGACCTCACACCATTTACTGACATTACGTGTGGTTGGCACTCTATCAAGAGCTGAGAACCTACCTTACCTTGCAGGAAAACTACCTTATCTTGTCTCCATGAGTTTTTACAACTCAGAATAGGTTGACAAGAGAAAACCACTGCCTAGGAAAAACAGCAACATCACAAACAACTGCAAGGTGGCTCCTTTCTCTGAATGCAGCCAGCTTAGTTAGGCACACATAGTTTGGGCTTCTCTACACCGAGGAGTTCATTGGGCAAGGTGTGAATTTCAAATGCATTGTCTAATGTGCACCAACAACAGCGAGCAGTAGGAGCAAGGCTTTTGTGCAAGTTGGCAGATCCCGTTTGCAAATAGTCAACTTGCATTTTGTATAAACTGAGCATGTGGGAGACTGACAGCAGCATAGCAGAAGGACCAAGAGCAGAATAGTTGATGCCCTGCAAATGTATACTTACTGACTTCCCTGTGCAGATCAGCTGTTAAATCTTGGTTGTTATACTACTGCACCCCACACCCCACCCCACCCCCACACTACATTTGGATTTAAAGTGGTTCTCCGGTCTACTTTAACCCTCTTCCAAAGTGGGATAAGAAAATCCACTTATACCGGAGCAGGCAAGTCCAGGCGGAAAATTATGCCCATAAACTCGAAACTTGCAGTACTAGCAGCCTCGCGCTGGTGCCCTGGAACCTGGCCGAAGAAGGGGCTGGGAGGTGTGCGGGGCCGGGCCGAGCATCCCGCGCTCTCACCACTGGAGAAGCCGCTGGGACGCCTGCCATCACCCCGGGGACCCTCCTCTCTGCGGGTCGGGACCTCCCGACTTCGATGTCGGCACAAGGCCCGGCAGGAGCAGCTGCGCCCCCCTACAGCTGCTTGGGTCTTTGTGGGGCGCAGCAAGGAGAGGGGCGCAGCTTTGCAGCGAGGAACAAGCCTGCGGGGCTGCGCCCTTGGGTTTGGGGACCGGGTTTCCTTTGCAGAAAGGCTGGTTTCTAGACAGGCTACTCACCACCTTGGGTCTCCCTCCAGCCGTCCTGGCTGGGGGCAGACTCACAGCAGCCCCGGGACACAGCACACCACCCGCCAGGTGTTTGCTAGGGCGGCAGCGCCTCCCATTCAAGCCGCTAAAGTCCAGCTCCCCAGGTCCTGAGCGTTGAATGGAAGAGAAAAATCTCCGGGGAAGTGGAGGAGCGAGGGAAGGGGCTTCTAGAGCTTGGTCCTTGCACCTCCGCACGCAGGGGCACCTGGCCGGCGGCGGCAGCGCGGGCAGGATCGGGCCCGTCACGGACCCCTGGGCAGGTGAGGGAGGTGCAGTCAATCCAAGGACCGTCCCCTCCCCCGGACTTCATTTCCAGGTCAGAGAAGAACCCAAATGGGAGTGGATTCCGCGGAGCGAGGAAGAGGAATTTGCTCGTGTTTCCCGTGCCG